TTTCCAGCTTTCATCTCTCTTTCTATTTTTTTCTTTCTCTTCTTCCCTCCCTTTCCCTCCCTGCCTCTCTCCTGTCCTCTTTCTCTCTTCTCTTTCCTTCCATCCTTCCTTTCCGCTTCCTTCTTTTCTCATTTCTCTCTCCCTTTCTTCCCTTCTCTCCCTTTTTTCTTTAAGGTAGCAGTAGTTTAGGGAAGGAGCAATCTGGAATATCTGTGAAATCAATGGCTTCAAAGGACAGTTCTTTTATATTGAAGCTGGTGGTCTAGGGCCAGAGTCATAACTCAGTGACACAAGTACCTGCCTGGTAAATGCAAAGTCTTGAGTTTAATTCCTGGTACAAAAAAAAAAAAAGTGGTGGTCTTTTCCATATCCTATTTTCATAAATGAAAAAAATTTAACAAAATATTTCAAGCATACAGAAAATCACAAAATTGACAGTATAGAAAACACCTTTATATGTAACATTCGGATTTTAATGCTTTACACAATGAATCACTTTTATCTTTTAAAATTTTATTTTAAAGAAAATGAAATCAAGCAAAATAAAACAGAATAAACCAATCAGAACAATTCAGTGTGACACAGGATTTCAAAACAAGATGATAGGAAATCAACAATGGTTCCCATAACCCCTCTTGTGTTCAAAATAGCTGTCCATACCTTCGGGAATAGTAAAATGAAACAAAACAGAACAGACTAGAACCAATAAAAACAAAACAATGAGGGCAATGCAGGATGTCAAAACAAGATAATAGTAAATCCAGAATGGTTGCCATAATGTATCTTGTTATCTTTGAAATAGCTGCCCATACCATCAGATATAATAAAATCAAACAAGACAAAACAGAATAAAACCCAACCAAACAAAACAATGAGAATGACACAGGACTCTGAAATAAGATAATAGGGAATTAACAATGGTTAGGACCTTCAGAAGGAGTCTCTCACATATGCTTACATGGAGGACTGCCATTCTCCAAATAGATGATCAGGCTTTGGGCCTGCAAAGTCAGTGAAACACCAAACACTGCAAACATTAAGCTGCATTGCACCCCATTGGCTATCATCACAGCCTGTGTCTCTCTGACCAGTCAGCTGCCCATGGGGAAATGACGGAACAGTGGATCTTCTTGTCTTCCAGCCCCTGCACAGGAAGGGGCTGGTGCCTGACTCTCTCCCTAAATTCATCGTTTTAAAAAAGAAATAAAATATAACTTTTTTGTCCTCTCTCTTGAGTCCACTTCTTCTTAAAACTGAAATGCTGTCTTGAAGTTGATATACATTTCTCAATTGTATATCTTTATATTTTTACTATATAGATGCATATAAATACGTACGAAGCAAGTTTTTGATACCAAATCCAAATCATTTGTCTTTATGTCTCTCCTGTCATCAAATCTTTCATGTGTCCAGTACACAATAGAATAAAAGTTAGGATCCCAGAATATCTATATAGATTTAGACATATCTCTATAGCTATATATATCTCTACCCACTCATAGATCTGTGCAGAATGTGTTATGTTTTAAAATTTCTGCCTCATGTTTGAAACTGCAAAAAAAAATGGCAGTGGATTTTTAAAGCTAATCTTGCGGGTGGGAAAGGTATTCATAATCCTGTAACTCTAAAACAAACACGTTCATTTACATTGTATGTATTCTTTTACAGCATCACAATGATAGTGTACAAATCAGTTGGAGGTTTATCTCAGTAGTAGAGTGCTTGTGTAGCATACGAAAGCCCTCGATAAAATCTCCACCATACACATACACAGAAGATGTATACATTTTGTGTTGCCTTTTCTCTTAGCATCAAGTTGTAGCACTTTTTTTAGTTTCTGTCTTTCTAGTTATTATGTATTGTTGATATCCAACTTTCAACAGCTCCTTTAAAAACCACTGGTGGGCAAAAAAACCTCTCAACAGTGGTCACCTTTGGGCAGAGTGATGACTTTTCATTGTTTAACTTTCTACTTTTCAATGTATAAATTTCTGTGCTGTTTTTAAACTGCTCACATTATCGTATTTGTAAAGTTTTATTTAAAAAGCAAAATTTATTTTTTTGTTAAAGTATTTTGTTCTCTGCAGAAAATATCTCCATAATTTTCATTCTTCTGAGGATCAAAACATTAAGTGTATTGGGAAGCCCTTTGACAACTGTAAAATTTCTTGGAAATATAGGAGAGAAAAACTCAAGTGAAGCAGGAATACATCGGGGCAGCTGAGAGTTAAAGACCAATATCTGAGCTCCAGGTTAATAGTCAGCTACATGAACTTAGTTATGGTTCTCTCCTAGGCACTCCTGCTGGTTTTTGGGGTTTAGAGGGCAAAATTTATCTCTGATGTTAGTAATGAGTCATGGGAGGAAGAATTTATCCTGAGGTTAATTCACCAGGGAGATTTTATTAGAATTCATTATCTGTACTAGATGGAAACAAACAAACAAAAAAAAAACCCCAACAAAGACAAGATTTTATTGCAGCAACATTATCAAGAAATCTTTATAAACTTCATGTGAAGCGTTACCTTGAGTTCGATAATCACTTATTTGTTACTAATGACAGCCAGGCAAATACTAGGAAGGGATCACAGTCTACCTTGCATGTTGTCTAGAAACACTAAAAATTACTTTGGGAAATAAACCAACTGAGAACATTTTAAAGGCAGTAACAGCCTTGGAATATTTTTCTAGCTCATTTATGCTTATTAGCTAACCCACCAAAAGTGTGTGTGCATTTCATAGCATTCTGCTATAATTAATGAGTTGAGTCCTTTTAATTTAGCTCACTTTGTGTGACGATGCGGTGGCATGGATGGGAAAGCACCAGCCAGGATTATGAATATTCATCACTATTTCAATTAGTCCCATATGCAGAATCAGGAAGAAGTGGCCATTTAGCAAGACCAGTATAGAGCAAGAGCTCTTTGCTCTTCTTGGAACCAGGAAAGGTTCTGTTTCTTTGCCTGCAAGCCTTTCCCACTTTTAAACACAAGAATCACAACCCTAGGAGTCCAGACATCCTGCTTTAAAGATGAGGACACTGAGAAATGGAGAGGCAAAACATCTTGTCCAAGGTTTTTCAAGCCATACCTAAAATTCTGAGCATCAGCCCTAGGATGGGGTAGGGGTGTCCTTCCTAAGTCGTCATCATCTTTCCGTCACCTGTTAGCTCTGCCTATCTTTCTTCACTGGGAATAATGATAATATTATGTGTCCTGGGGTGAGAGAATCTGCAGAAGTCTGGGAGGACTGGAGCTAAGGCATAGGATTCTCAGGTAGCCCACCGAGGGGAGGAGGCCAGTTCACTTTGGCAAGCATTAGCATATAAGCATGGAGTTGATATTAACCCAAATAACAGACGCAGAGGACTCTTGGAATTTCCTGTCCTCTTGGAATTCTTGGAAGGATGTCTTAGTCCATTTTATGTTTCTATAACAGAATACCTGAGTCTGGGTAATTTATAAAGAATAGACATTTATTTCTTACAGTTCTGCAAATTGAGAAGGCCCTGGGCATAGCACTGACTTTTGGTGAGGGTTTTCTTGCTGTGTCATTCCACGATGAGGGGCGTCATATGGTGAGAGGCAAATTGCAAGCCTGGATCTCTCTGCCTTTTAGAAAGCCAAACATAACATACGTGACCTCATAGTCTTATGATTTTATTTAATTCTATACCCTATACCACCTCTAAATACCATCAACATTTAAAGATTAAATTTCTAACACAAATTTGAGGGACACATTCAAACCCTAGCAGAGGGACAGGAGGGTGTGGCGAGGGATGTGAGTCACTGAGGGCTCTGAGGAGCTGCAGCAGGATGGCGGAAGGGAGGATATGAGAACAGAGGTAAGTTTCAAAACCTCAAATCCAACCGAATTAGCTTATTCTCCAGGACTCTGACTGAGCACCTTTTGCATACACAGAAATAAGTTAGATTTTGCGCCATAAAAAGTCCATGGATTACACATAGGAGAAGTCTAGTTTCGTCTGCACCTGAAGATTTGGAAAGATTCATCACCATCAACCCTGAATACCTGAATTCCTGGTAGTGCAGTATTTTAAAAATGACAGGAACATTTATAATGGTGGCCTTTGCGCCCTCTGCTGGTATACATACGCAGCTGCGCCATCTGCCGTTTAGAAGGTTCCTTGCGAGGCAGCTGAGACGGGGAGGAGGCTAGAGGGAGGCAATCAAAGAACCGCATCAAGGACAATGAGTTTGGTAGTTAAAAGAGAACAATTCCTTTGAAAATTACATGAGATAATCTAGATAAAACCACATTTTGACAAGCCTACCACATAAAAGGTGCTTGGTGTTCTGGCTGTGTTTGAGCTAAGGTGGGTCAGGGAGATAAAGTTATAATCTTGCTAAAGCTTTTCTCCATTCAAGGTGGGGCTTGGATTTCCAATTCATGGATTCTCCAGTGCTCAGATGTGTTCTGGATAATAAATCTGATAAACTTGTGTACACTGAGATATAAATAATGGAGCATAGCCAAGAGTCTATAGGTGGCCTGAGAGGAAACTTTAACTGTTCATAGTTGCCCCGTCGCCTAAGAGTTTTATATTTAAAATGTTTGTGAGGATTGTGCACCATCTTCCTTTTCTAGCGATTCACAAGTCCATGTGTATATTGAAGGTGTGGCAAAGAAACTTTGTTTGAATCCAGGATTTCACAGATTTTTGGCTAGGAAACAGAGAGTTTGCGGAGATGAGAAGAGGATCTGGGGATGGGGAGCATGGGAGGAGGGGGAGGGAGGAGAAAGTAGAAAGGATCAGATGTGATATCGTATGTATCAGTTCACCACAATGACTGTATGTATTATGTATCCTAAACATGTAACAATAAAAAGGGAAGCACCTTGGATCCTTTTTCTCATGGAGTAATTATCATCTTGAGTAAAGATTGCTTGGAAACTCAGACATAGAGCATGAATGCTGTGGCCAATTGGCTCCTTTTCCAATTCTTTTTCTAATTTGGCCTCTCCTCTCCTTCCAGGCGGACATCTTCTCCGGGGCCATATTCATCAATCTGGCCCTGGGCCTAGATATATACCTGGCCATCATTATTTTACTGGCAATCACTGCCCTTTACACAATCACAGGTATGTGAACCAGCAGCTCAAGCCCAGCTCAGGGTTAGGCATTTGTGATGGATAAAAGGAAGCAGAATACATGGCTTCTCCTTTCGTGGAAGAGGGATACACCCAGGAAAGTTTGAGAGTAGGCATTTACTTGATCTCCACTACAGGTTATATGAGTAACCTCTGAATGCCAGGGTTGACTGGAACAGTCAGGTATCTTCTCACAGGAGTGTAGGCAGACCTTGGCTCTGTGGGTTATAGAAACAGCCTGGCTCAGCTAGGAGAATTGGAGGAGTGCTGGGTGTGAGGATCAGTGAGAGCAGGGAATGTGAATGCAAATGGCCATAGCATGGACTGAGGAAGGATGAACAAGCATCTAGATGCATTTGGCTGGAGGAGGATGGCGCCTGGGAAGTAGTGTGGGTGAGTGTGGGGCATAAAGCTGGATAATTTGAATGAAGAACTTTGGAAACCTGACAGAGGCCTTAGATTTGATGTGATAGGAGTGGGAACCAATGCAGGTGGGGGGGGGAGGGAGAGAGAGAGAGAGAGAGAGGGAGAGAGATTTTTTGGAGAAGACTGAAGAGGTGGCCAGAGAAGCTGGTGCATAAATAAGATTGAGGGCTCTTTGCCTGGTTTGAGAGGCACAGGATCAGCACTGGAACCTGATACTCAACTAGAGCACACATCTTTGAGGACAAGAACATATTTAGATGGCTTATGTGGCAGTGGACAAAGAAGGAGTCCTCTGAAGTGTGCTAAGTTGCTAATGTTCCCAGGTACCTCTACAGTCAGAGCTGTTTTTCTTTGTCTTCATTTGGAAGATGCTCCCTCTTAGCCCTAGAAGAGCAGACTCTTTTGTGTGATCTAATGGCTCAAAAAGCACATCACATGCTTCCCACTTGGGTATAGAGAAACATTCTCTTAAGAACTTGAAAACAATTTCATGAGAAGCGGAGGGGACAAGCTGAACAGCAGATTATCATAAAAGGATAAGGGAAGGAGGGAAGAAAAGGCAGGTGGGGGACTGGGAGGTGGGAGTGGTTTTCAAAAGGTGTAAGAAAGCTGGAGGGCAGTGCATGAGAAAGGGGAGCAGACACCTCACCTGGCACACGAGGTCAAATACGCTGTTTTTTTTGCTTACTTAGGGGGCCTGGCAGCTGTGATATACACGGACACCTTGCAGACTGCGATCATGCTGGTGGGGTCTATTATCCTGACTGGGTTTGGTAAGTGGGGCTAGGGCAGATGGAGGAGGTGAGCACAGATGTTCAGGGCCAAGGAAGAGAAACCAAGTCCAGCCTTGCTGTGTGCCACTAGCCAGACAGTGAATTCAGCCTCACGCCACTCTCCCATGGGCAGTGATCCAGCCCAGATGGGCCAGCGTTGTGGGTGTGGAGCAGCAGCTTCCCTGCCCCTTGAAGACTTAGGCTTGGCTGGATCACACAACACTGGACTCCCTCTGCTCACTCTCTGTATCCTGGATCCCTGGGGCCCAGAGAGGGTCTGTGATACCATGGCATTCTCTCTAGTGGAGAAACTGGGCACAAAAAGGATAGGGCTAAACATTTATCAAGCTAAATATACTCAAACGTTGTATTTTCAGTCTTAGACTCTATCTTTTCTATATTTGATATTAAATGTCCATTCTTTCTAAATTGTTGACAGCAAGTGATAATTTTCATTTCAGTGCCCTTATTTGACAAAATTTAAAGATAAGCCACTCAGTGGTGGGGCCTCCTGCCTCCCCATTTCTTGAAAAATTTCTTGTCTATGAAACGGTAAAGACAATGTTGAAAATTCCAGGTCTTGGGATGCTTGCTATGACCAAATATAAAATTCATGTTACTTTTAGGTGCACAAAGCCCTCTGTGTGTCCTCCACTGCTTAGTTTTCCAAGAACTTTCATTTGTTTTTTTCCAGTAAGCCCTGGGGCAAAGCAGGGGCTAGACTGACTTGTTCAAGGACCCCCAGCTGAGAGGCAGCAGGGTGCCACATTCCTCACCTTTTCTTGGTCATCATATTACCCTGATAGGAGCAGGGACGGGAGGTCTGTGTCCAGGGTCCCAAAGGCCACTTTGTATGTCCCTCTGTTCTGAGGTCCAAGGACCATGGCTGACAAGAGGTGGTAAAGGGAAAAATAGAGCCTTCGCATGTGGTTCAAAGTCAAGGTTTTCATTTGAATAATTAAAATATTTTCCTTTTTGTGAAGAAGTTTCTGGTTGGAGCACTTTGACAAATTACTGCTTGGGATGCTCACAGGAACCCCTCCCCCTCCAAGGGGACTGGGCAGGGTTAATAATCCCATTCTATGAATAAGAAAACTGAGGCCTGGAATGGGAAGGTAATTTACCCAAAACCACACAGCAAAGGTCTTCTTTGATTGTGGAATCTGCTCAGTTTTTCAGGCACCCATGGAAGAAACCATTATAAAGAGTAGAATGTTTTAGAATGGTCGTTTTTTGTGCCAATGTTTTGCAGCTTTCCGTGAAGTGGGAGGATATGAAGCCTTTATGGAAAAGTACATGAAAGCGATTCCAACCGTCATTTCTAATGGAAATATCACTGTCAGTGAAAAATGCTACACCCCGAGGGCTGACTCCTTCCACATCTTCCGAGATGCCATCACGGGAGACGTCCCATGGCCTGGGCTTATCTTTGGGATGAGCATTCTTGCCCTGTGGTACTGGTGCACAGATCAGGTAACCAAGCTGTACAGACAGGGTGGGCAGGGTCTTCTTGGTGGCATTACAGGCACTTCCTCATGCGTACGGCTCATGGGGAGGGGTCACATGGTCTGTGGGTTGCTGAGTCCTGGGAGTCCCAGGCCAAGGACTGGGGCAGCAGGGGTAACAGGAGGTGTCACAGGACCTCAATCCTGTACTTCTCCCTTGCTTGGCTCCCCTGGCAGGTCATTGTGCAGCGCTGCCTCTCAGCCAAGAACATGTCTCACGTGAAGGCTGGCTGTATCTTGTGTGGATATTTCAAGCTGCTGCCCATGTTCCTCATGGTGATGACGGGAATGGTTAGCCGTATTCTGTACACAGGTAATTCCTTCAGCTGCCCTCACAGGCCACGCTCATTTTATTTTATTTTATTTTTTGGCTTTGAGTCATTTCCAAAGTCTTTTAGTTCTGTGCTCACTCTTTCCCATGCTCTCTTTTTCTTGCTTTCCATATCAAGTCTCATTATTCCCATTGATAGTTAGTAAATAACTTCAGGGCTCAGAACTTTCGGGGTTTTCTTCTTGAGTTTGTTGCATTGGCAAATGTTTTCTTGTTTCTTCTGTAATCGTAAGTCACAACGTATCTCTTGGATTTCTCTTTCAGTTAGTAATATTTGTTCAATTTTAGCTCCTCCCTGGTGGAACTTTGTATGAAGTCTTTTATAATTTAATGTCAAAAGATGCCAGCCAGTCTCTAATTGCCTCCTGCTCTGAGTCCCATTGCCTGAATCATTTCCTTGAAAGTGCCCTGAGCCTTGCATTTTGCTATCTAAGGCGATACATTCTTCACTGATACTTTTGTGATTTCTCTAGTGTCACCAAGAGTCTGAACAATTTCCTAGAAGGTGAACTTGTGTAGCAGGAGGGAAGGAGGGGAACAGGTAGGGCGGAGAGGGAGAAAGGGAGAAAGAGAGGGAGAGACTGGCTGCATACTCCAGCCCTTTGTATTCATTATTTGTACATCTGTAGGTTTCCAACTTCAGATTAAAAATATTTGAAAAACACTGCAGATGTACAGAACTTATATAGACTTTTTCTTGTCATTATTCTTAAACAATGTAGTATGACAACTATTTATACAGCACTTGTATTGTACTAGGTAATATAAGTACTATAAAGATGATTCAAGTTATACAGGAAGACAGTGCATATGGCATACTCAAGTATGAGTCTATTTTATATAAAGGACTGGAGCATTTGCAGATTTCGGCATCCACTGAAGAGAATTTCCTAAAACCATCCCCATGGACACTAGAGAGGGATAATGGTCAACTGCAGAGCTAACTGACTAGTTTTTACTATATTACTAATATATACATTTATTTATGAAATAATGCTATAGTAACTCAGTTCTAAGTAAGATACACTTGTAGCAATTACTTAATGAATGTTTGTTGATCTAAATTCTATACAAGTTTCTTAAGTTCTAAGATTCACCTTATTCCATTTTCTACCTAAGATTTTCCGTGTCTTGGAAGTAGAACTCAACAGTCCTGTTACTGGGGATTTTCCTCAGTTATTTAATTCTATTTCTAAGAACTGCTTAAATAAACCTCAAAATTAGGAGCCATTAACCATTGTGATTTTCAGAGAAAACAATACAATTATTACTTGTCAAGCTATGGGATAGTTAGCTGAAGACTAGACATTGTTCCTTCTCCTTTCCTGCCTTTATAATTTCTTTGTTTCTTTTCTTCCTTTGCCTAGGAACATTTCTTTCTCCCTAGTCAGAGGTTGGGACTGTATCAGGGTCAGAAGAGTAGTGGCATGGACACAAGGTCTTATTTTTGGCACTGTTGCAGGGCTTTGGGCAGCAATGTCTTGACTGAAGCCTTGTTTTAAGAAAGTGAGCTTTGGAACTGTTTTCCCAGTGTCTGCTTACTGACATGGCTGTTCATCTCTTCTCCAGATAAAATTGCCTGTGTCGTCCCCTCGGAATGTCAGAAATACTGTGGCACCTCAGTTGGCTGTACCAACATTGCCTACCCAACCTTGGTGGTGGAACTCATGCCAAATGGTGAGAGTCTTTTGTGTGAGGCTGGAGAAATGCTTTTTTGGAAGGTTGATTGAATTTGGACTGAATTTCTGGGTGCCTTCCGAAGCTAAGTCATCTCTGAGCCTAGGCATTTGGTCAGGAAATCCTTGTTCTAGAGTCTTCAGATTTTACACAGGTCTTCAAAATACATGGCTTTGTTGGGCTCGAGTTCTGGGATTTGCCCATCAGTCAGGCTTGAAAGAAATAATCTGAAAATTCGTTGGGGAAGCACATGACACTTCCATTCCCATCTGAAAGATCTTTCAACGCTCTTCAACAGAGGGAATACAAATTAGTACAACCTTTATGGAAAAACAATGTGGGGTTTCCTGAAAAAAAAAAAAAAAAACCCTGCATACTATTTTCCCTAGCAATATCACAATTGAGTGTATGCCCAAAAGAAATGAAATCAGTAAATGGATGTCCATTATTCACAATAGTTGAGATATAGGATCAACAAAAGCTGCTCATCAACAGTTGAATAAAGGAAGTATTTACATATGTATGTATTTATATGTATATGAATTCTATTCAGTGTATAAGAGAAGGAAATCTCATCATTTTTGACAGCATAGATAAGCATGGAGGGCATGTATAAAGTGAAGTAAGCAAGGCAGAGAAATATTGTATCATCTCACCTAAATGTAAAATCTAAACAAGTCAAATTCATAGTAGCAGAGAGCGAAATGGTGGTTAGCAAGGGTTAGGACAATGGGAAGTCTAAATTTGGGAGGTCTTGGTTGAAGGCTATAAATTTTCGGTTAAGAAGAGTAAGTTCAAGATTTCTATTGTAGAACATGGTGACTTATAGTCATTAACAATGTGTTATATATATTTGAAAATTACTGAGTAGATTTTAAGTGTTCTTACCACAAAGTAAGCATAAATATGTGAGGCAGTAGCATGTTAATTAGCAAGTTTGCCATTCTACAATATATGCATATTTCAAAACACTGTGTCATACATGATAAATATTTGTAATTTTTCAATGAAAATAAGTTATGTAAAGCTCTCCAACATACATTAATATAAAAGCTAAGCACCCTAGGTCCAAGGGTGTTTACTTGGAAAATGAATTAGTGATAGACTATTCCAAGGAAAAATATAAAGTTAAAGGTAAGATTTTTAGTTCTAGAAGGAAGAAGTTTGAAGTTGGAGATTGGTAAAATTCAAAGGGGTGCCACACCATAAAGAATATGTTGTCCTAGAGACTGGATACTTAAGTCTGAACCTGGAAATAGCTAGAGTTTGGGGCTGACCTGTGGGACTGGAGTTCATATATATATATATATATATATATATATATTTTTTTTTTTTTTTTTTTTTGGTCTTTTTTGTTTTTATCGGTACCAGGGGTTGAACTCACGACTGCCTGCTTGCAAGGCTGGCGCTTATGCCGCTGAGCTAAATCCCCAGCCCCTTGGAGTTCATATTTTACACTGCAGGAAAAAAAATTTCTTAATTTTGGTTTAAGGACTGCAAACTGGCAAATCTCAGGTTGGAGGATCTCAAGAGATCAAAAATTCACAAATATTAACCACATCATCTGGTCAAACCCCCTCGTTTTTTCAAAGACCCAAAAAAGAGAAACGATTTTTTTCAAGGTCAACCCGGTCTGCCATCCGGCTTACTTAGCTCTGCTCAAGGTGAGAATTGAGGAATTTGAAAGAATGCCCCCCCTTCATACATGACCTTGGGAAAAAATTTGCATTTGAATTATATAAAATGGGAATAATAGTTAACTACTCTTCTGAAATGGGCTGATTATTAATTAAGGTTGCAGTTAGCAAGAGTCACAGTGGCTTTTCTGGAGTTCTGGTGTCTGTAGAGGAATTTATGTTTTCAGATTGGCTTAACAGTGAGGACAGTCGCAGCACAATATACTACAGTGGCACTGTGTGCGATAGATGTGCATAGCGTGCAGGAAACCAAAATGCTGTGTTTTGATTTGCCATTCCCATTCTCTTTCCTGTGGCTGTAATCTGGTTTTTGTAATACTGAACAGAGTGAACTTCCTGTACTAGATGAAATGTTTTCCATTCATCATCGTGGCCTCTTAGCAGCATTCAGCATTATTGGTCACTCCTCTTTCCTTTGATTCATAATATTTTACTCTCCTATTGTGTTACTTCTTTTTGTACCATTTGCAGATTCAGTCTTCTCAGCCTGGAAATGTTCCCTCACTAACCCACATCAAATTCCGTCTGTCTCCTAATCTTATTTATTTATTTTTATCCTAAGTTTATTGGTACAATGTAGATATACATAATGGTCACAGTCATCATAAGGAATTTATAATTGTACATGGTATATCTTAGTTCTCCTTTTCCTAAGTATTTTTTACACCCATCTGCCTATCTCTATATTTACTTCTGTCACCCTAGTCTGCTACACCATTATTTCTTGCCTGGGCTGCTATAAAATTAGGTTCAATGAATATTTGTTGAGTAAATAAGTGAGAGATAAGTTTGATAAGAGTGTAGAAAAGAGATGTGTATGGGTTTCTGTTCCAGCAATAACTGGTGAAATAACTGAGCAAATGGCAGAGCCAGGCCCCATCTACTATCTACTTCAAGTGAACTTTTGTTTTATCAGCTAAAAACTAGAACGTTTGGGCTAGATTATCATTATAACTTCTTCCATAGCTCTCATGGTCTGTAATCTGCATTAAACAAACTCAGGAGGAACCATCGCTGGATGAGTTCTAAGGAAGTTCTTAAAAAAGAGGCAGGGATCTGCAGCCACCCTACGTAGTAGGTTCATTAATTCTTATCATGGAAAACCATTTCAGGATGCTTCAGTGAGAGGCATAGGTTAGGAAGTAGGAGAAAATGGGGAGGAGTCTTCAGTTTGAGGAGCCGAAGAGGACACAGCTCTGAAAAAAGGGGACCAGACTGGCCCATTAACCGAATAAGTGAAATAAATCAGACTCATACGTGTAAACAGCATAGTGTCTTACTAGTGTGAGGAACTGAATGAGTAAATAAGGCCCCAAATGTACAATGAATGTTGTGAATTGGGAAGAAACTGTTCAAAAGATGGGGGGAGGGGAAAGGAAGCAAGGGAAAAAGGAAAATATGTATTTATATACAAGACAGTTAAGATAGTTATGCAGTTAGTTTCTCTTAATTCATTGAAAAGAAAGTTTTGTGTTAATATTGTTTGGACAAGATGTCATGCCTGCATACTGTACTCTGAATACCAGGAAGATAACGATATATAACGTATTAATTATTGTAACTCTCTTTCCTGTTTTGAAGCTCTGTTTTATTATTATTTTTATTTTATTTTTTTCTGTTTAAAAAAATAACAAAAAGAAGAATGACTTCAGTCTTTACAGATTAGCTGAGACGAGGAATGGTTTGATTATTATCATGTTCTGGTTTGGTAAGGCGGCTCTGGGGAAAAGCCTTATTATCCGAGGGGACAGTTTGTTCTGATTGTTTCTGAATGGGGCAGTCTCAGTCTTGTAGAGGATCTGCTGGAATCTAAGGTGACTGTAGGATTAGGGTAACAACTGCTCACTAGTAGTTGAATGTCCCTATAAATCTCTTACCTTGGTATCCTCAACTTTGAAGAGAGATGAGACAGAGTTTACAAACTCAGGTCTAACTGACCTTTGTTTTGCCAATTTTTATTTTATTTTTGACACTCCATAAATGCTCAACAAGCTTACATGCAGAGGCGCGAAGGGATTTGACATGGAGTTTTAAGGTAATACAGGCTACGGAATAAAGATGGAGCTTTTGTATTGCTTTTAGTTACTGAACATCTGTAGGCTTGAACAAAGAGTAACTTTTAAAACTTTTTAAAGCCAAATTGCTTTTTAAATCCTGTATACCTCAGAAGAAAATACAAGCAGAGGAAACCTCATGGAAGGGGTTTATATATCAGGTAGATGATAGGCCTACATGATCTCTAGGGTTTTACTTGTGAGACTGTAAATCTGTAATGCTCTTTGAGCTGGCCTGCCAGGCCTCAGTAAATACAACCTTGTGCCCTCCATAAGATAGGAAAACAACAGCCAATCATCCTTATTATGATTGGGAAAACTAAAAACAACAATCCCTTATTTTGATTGGAGCAAGTATTATTATCTCCATTTAGCATGTTAAGAAGTGAGGCTTTGAAGTTGAAATAACTTGATTAGGGCCAGAGTTGAAAACAGAATTTTTTCTTTTTAAAAAATGTTCATTGAACTATAATCCACATATTGTACAATTCACACATTTAAGGTATATAGCTCCATGGTTTTTAATACATTCCTAGAGTTGAGCAACCATCAGCACAATCAGTTTTAGTAAATATTTGTCCCTACACACACACACACACACACACACACACACACACACACAATGCTATACTTTCCTATACTTCCTAAAGAAATGAACAGTCATTCTATTTTACCCCAACCTCTTTGTACTATGCAACCATCAGTATACTTTCTGTCTATAAATTTGCCTATTTGGAACATTTCATACAAAAAAAAACCTATAACAATATATAATTCTTTGTGGCCGTCTTCTTTTACCTAACATAGTATTTCCAGGGTTCATTTGAATTGTATCATGTATTTGTATTTCATTCCTTTTGGTTAATGGATGTGTTACACTGCATGATGACCTCCTTATTAACTGTTTATTTTGTTTATCTGTTGATCAGTTGATGGGCACTTGAATCATTTCTGTTTTTGGCTATTATAAATAACACTGTGATGAACATTTATTCAAAAGTTGTGTGCGTGGAAACAGATTTTCATTTCTCGCGGTTAGATACCTAGGAGTGGAACTGATGAGCCACATGGTAACTCTATATTTAAATGTTAGATGAACAGCTAGACATTTTCCCACAGTGGTTTACCATGTACATTTCTTCCAGAAATGTAAGAGTACCCTATTTCTCTACTTATGCTTTATTATCTGTCTTTTAAAATTACAACCATGAGAGCTATGTGAAATATTAATCACTGGGATTAGGTTGGAATTTCCTGGATGTCAAACATCTTTTCATATCATTTTGGCCATTTTTATATCGTTGGAAAAATCGCTATCAGATCCTTTGCCACTTTTAGTTAGGTTATTGCCTTCTTACTATTGAGTTATAGAAATTCCTTGTATGACCTATGTATTATAGGCTTACCAAACATATAATTTGTACATGTTTTCTCCTTTTTTAAGACTGTAGTTTCACTTTCTGGAGAATCTCATTGTTGGATCCTAGTTTAAAATATCTTTCAACTAAATCATGGATATTTTGAGTGAGGATCTTTATAAAAGTCTCCTCAGATGGAAACCTACACCATTACCACCACCACTGTCACTCAAAGTATTTACTTCATAGGTGTTGTCTTCAGTTCTTTATTGTCTTTTGTGGGCTTATAATACAATTTAGAGCTAATCCATTTCTTGAAACAACCATTCTTTCTGGAGAGATATGGTGTGGTTTCAGAGCGCCAACAAACCTTGAGCCTTTACACAAAAGAACTCAGGTGTTGCATGTGCCACTCAGAAATGCTTTTCTTTTCAGGGCTACGAGGCCTGATGCTGTCAGTCATGATGGCCTCTCTCATGAGCTCCCTGACCTCCATCTTCAACAGTGCCAGCACCCTCTTCACCATGGATATCTACACCAAGATACGGAAGAAGGCATCTGAGAAAGAGCTCATGATTGCAGGAAGGTAAATGCAGCTTTTCAGTGCTATGTGCTATTAAAGCTTGAATGATTAGAGAGATTTCATTCCCACAAGCTGGGGAAGATTTGGTAGACAGCTGGATGATATAATTGGAATAATACCCTTGTCTAGTTATATTTGCCCCTCAATAGCATTAAACTTTTTTTGTGTGGTACTAGGGATTAAGCCTGGGGCCTTTGTACTGAACTACATGTCAGTCCCTTCTCTGTTATCTTTAAATTTTGAGACAGAGTTTTACTAAGTCGCCCAGGCTGGGCTCAACTTGAGATCCTCCAGCATCACTATTCCAGGCATTTAGCTTTAAATTGGAAATTACTAAACCATTCCCCACTGTAGTTAGAAGGAACAGAAAAGATCATCTAATATAACCTGAAGGCTACCAACACACTGAAATGAGGCACATCCTCCCTAAACCCAGACAGTCCTTGCAGTGGCAGAGCCAGGACTAGAGTCTGTGGCTTAGCACTCATTGTCCAAGACCTCATTGTACCTCTCCACATGGGCTATCTTTGAGGCTCAAATGGCTCTGATTCTCAGTCTCTTCATGAGACATTGTCCATTGTGAAGCCCAAACGAGATTTCATTTGTGACAATGCAAGGCTTTGGATACATTTTACATCGTCAAATGGGTTAATAAACATTACAGTGTACCAAAAATATCAGTGTTGACGGACAGATTAAGTATGCTCAGCATTACAATTATCCATGGTGTAGATGCTCTGGATTAAGAGAAACTCTGCTCTGTCTCTACATGGGACTCAGGCAGGTCAACCTTCTCAGGGTAGGTAGAATGGATCCCTGGGAAGTCAGCCAAAGGAAAGATTCCTGCATGAAGGATATAGTCTGTTACCTTATGGATCTTATGAGCAAGATTAGAGGGAAGATAGGGAAGAAAAATGGCAGGCAGATGACAAGATGCCTGATATCTAGGGAAGACCTGACCAGTTGAGAATCTACTACTCTACATCACAGGCAGCACAGGACTGCTTTCTTGACTAGTTTTTCCTTTGAAAGATGCTTATTGGCTTTTCCTGCTATTTGCAAGGAAATATGAAATTATATAAAATAGGGAAGAAAAGCATTTTGTTGCTTTGCACATATCTGTATTCCCTGGCCCTGAGTCTATGTTGGATTGTCTCAGACTATTGTCCTGGAACCTATCTTAGGGTTATGAGGGATATGATACACTTTCAAACTCTACATTGGGGGGCCGGGGATTTAGCTCAGCAGTGTAAGCACCTGCCTGGCAAGTGCAAGATCATGCATTCAATCCCTGGTACAAAAAACAAACAAAAACAAAACCAAAACTTTACATCAGGGACTGTAAGTGAAATTTAGGTAAGGGAGAGACTAGCATGGTATGGTATAGCTGGAGACGGATCCTGGGGGAGAGAGAATCTGAACTGAGTTCAGGGTGGTGGGTAGGATTTGGGCAAATAGGGAACAATGGTGGGATGGGCATCTCAGAGGGAGAAGTGTGTAAAAGCACTGCTTTGTGAAGCCTTTTTAAATACTCATTTATTTGAAATACATGTGAGTCAAAGGAATCACAGCCTTCTTATAATTAAATCAGAAACACAAGCAGTAAGAGAATTGCCAACCCTTTTAGGCCAGGAAGTAAAACTCAGCAGGAAAAGAGCTAGAAACACATGATAGTACCCTTTCCTATTTAGACTGTCCTCTTATAAAGTCTTCTTGTGTGGTGCTTTTTAATTTTATTATGAGGAAAAAGGAGGAGAAAAGTGACAACAATGATAAATTTTATTATTTTTGTTGCGTGCTTATTATTCGTGAGGTTTTACTCTCACTAGTCCTATTCCAACCTTGCAAGGTCAGTGATGTCAGATCATTCTCATTTTATAGCTGGGGAACTGGAGCCCCAGGTAGAGGTGTAGCAACGTGTCCTGTATCACACAGCGATAAAATTTGAATTCAGAACTGTCATGTGCCAGTGCCTTTGTTCCTATACTCTACTCCTTCTTGAAGTGGGATTTTTGTATAATGACGGTACTGAGGCAGCTACCGAAAGTCAAATATATTTCTTTTTTTATGACAGTGTAGTATTTGTTGTGTATAAATGTCACATTTTCTTCATTCATCTGTTGGTAGACATGTTATGTAAAATAAATTAGACACATATGATTGAATATCAGATGGTTTCTCTTATATGAGAAACCCAAAATAAAAGAGATAATAGGAAGCAGGAAGATAGATCTTTTGCAAGAAGAAAGTGGATCAAGAGATAGTGGGAGAGGGAAAGGGCAGAAAAGAAGGTGAAAAAGGAATTAAGATGTGTTATGTACAAGTATCAACTCCCTGCAAGGAATTGTAATCATTATGTGCTGTAAATGTGTATCACTAAAAAGAGAAATTTTGCAGCAATAATAAAAAAAAAGTGGCAAGATAAGTGTCTGGGGTGGGAGATAAGGAAGGAGTCAAGTGTGTTTCATGTATTCATAGGCACAGATGATTCTCTATAGACAAAGTAGGGAGAAAAAGGGTCTTGAGAATGAATTGGTGCTGTTTTTCCTTGCTGTGAACATATTACATATGTATATATTTGGATGTAAACATAAATATGTATATATGCTAATGACATGTATATATGTGTGTCATGCACTGATATATATATATATATACACATACATATATATATATGTATGTATGTATACATATAAAGTTATTTACTGGCGTTCCACTGTGATGATTTGATTTCAGGTTGTTTATCGTCTTGCTCATTGCCATCAGCATCGTCTGGGTGCCCATCGTGCAGTCAGCACAAAGTGGGCAGCTCTTTGATTATATCCAGTCCATCACCAGTTATTTGGGACCTCCCATTGCAGCTGTCTTCATACTTGGAATTTTCTGCAAGAGAGTCACTGAGCCGGTAGGTATCATTCTGGCATGCTCAGAAAAGCCAGTCCGACAGAGTTTCTATCAGGTTGCAAGGTTATCCCAGGTTTAGTCAGGTGCTGTTTGCTGAGGGAGAACATGAAGTCTTGAAGAAAATATCAAATGCTATGAATTTTTAAAGGGCATCTTGATAAAAAATAAAGAATAGAAAGAGGTTAATTTTCTTTAAAAAAGAAATGGAGCCTAAGCAAATTGCATCAGTACCACACATATGAACTAAAATTGAGAAACATTTTTTGAAGGAATAAATGCACGGGGAATGTATGGGAACCTATTTTCCTTTCTCCTTATCATTTCTTCATCTAATAAATATTTCCAGATTCCAGGCACAATGCGGCTAGAATTAGTAACACAAAATGAATGAAAATGCATTTCTTTCTTGAGCAAGCTCTCAGTTTAGATCAGAATACAAAGAAGTAAATGTGTCATTACATACTAGTGAGATGGTGCTGATATGGAGTTGTGCCCACATTGCTGGGGCCAAAGAAAGCAGGTGTACCTTTCCAGTATTGTGTAGTCTGTCCTATTTAAGTTAGAACAAAGTTATCAGGAAGGAGAGAGTTCATATTCTCCTGTACAGAGAGAATGATTTGAAAAAAGATCCTAGAATATGAACATATATGACATGTTTAAAGAATACCTGGTAACTTAGCACACTTGAAATACCAAGTATCGGAGTCATAATGGCTAGCAAAGAGGCAGATCAATACTCAGAAAAATCATGAAGTATCCTTTTGGCCATCCTGCTAAGTGCACACTCTAATTTGTCACTGACCTACATGTGGCTATGATCTTTTAGTTACCGACTAACCCAAGAGACAGAAGGCAAGAAAAGGAGAGGAAGAGAAGAAGAGAGAAAATGATAAGGAAAGGGAAGGAGAAAAGGAAGTAGAGAATAAAGATGGGAAGGAAGAAGGGAAAAAAGAAAAACATTAAAAAATCCTTGAAAAATAGTACCTTAATATTTCTAGTCTCTCAAAGACTTCAGTGTTTCTCATAAATAAAACCAAGATTTAAGGTCAAGACACACAGTGTAATTTTATGTTCTCAAACTAAACAAAATGACTTGGGATGTAGATAGGGAGTATAAAGGAAAGTGCTGTATATATTTTTATGGAAAAGCACCTTTTTCTTTTATCTTCTAAAGACTTAATTCCTTTTTCCATGTTTTCATGGAGGGCAAACTATGAGTAATTATTTTATATCTGAGTATGCTTAAATCTGTAGGTTGGTAGTAATGGCAGCTGCAGGTGGAGAGATTCAAAAATTTTTTTAAGTTAAAAGGAATCATTGGAACTAAGGCTTGAGCTAACAAATTAACCCAGTTATTCAATACATATTTATATTCTGAATCCTTTATTTATGATGCAGTACTGAAAGCTTGACTTAGTCGTGAACTCCAGTGTTCTAGCTTCAAAGGCTCGGGGCTACCATTTTTCTTACTTTATTTACTTATATTTATTTTAAAGAGAAAAACCCCAGAAAAATCAAGAAACAAACAATTAAAAAACAACAAAAGCAAAATGGCGACAACAAAAAACAATAGCTATATAGGATTTCAAAACAAGATGATAGGAACCTAACAATGGGTCTTACTTTTAATTCTTTGCCACTGTTTACCACCCGGGAATGTTAGGGTGCCCAGGTGTTTAGGAGATTCTGCATTAGTTAACCCCAAATTTTCTTTCGCAGGCAGCCTTTTGGGCACTGGTCCTGGGATTTCTGATTGGCATTTCCCGCATGATTGCTGAGTTCGCCTATGGAACTGGAAGCTGCACGGAGCCTAGCAATTGTCCTACAATTATCTGTGGGGTGCACTACCTATACTTTGCCATCATCCTCTTTGTTATTACTGTCATCATCATCCTGGCCATCTCCTTCTTCACCAAGCCCATTCCAGATGTGCATGTGAGTATCTATTCGGAAGACCTTTGCTATCCTTACTTCACATTTGTACTGCAATACTCTTGGTAGGCCTCGGCTCCTTTAGACATCTCACATTTATATGACTAATATAGTGCATGCTTGCCACTGGTTTCATGTAGGAGAATACAGAACAGGAAACATGGTACATAAACCTAGTAGCAAGAAGCCTGTGTCTTCAACAGAAGTCCTCCAAGTCCATGCTTGAGTGTAAAAACTTTTCCGTGTATCCTAGTAACAATTTGGGTGCAAGGAAAATGTGATGACGTGAGTAGACCCAGTGCTACCTTAGCTTAGAGGCCCATGCTCAAAATAGGAGCTAGTGTTTCTTATAACAGTCCCATGGTCAAAGCTTTTGGAGCTCCAGCAAGGAACACACCTAGCTGTAAAAATTATGGCACTTAGGGAAACCTGGTATGTGGTTTATTTCTTAATTTTTTCCAGTTAAGTCACGAGTTATTTTAGAATTTATTTTTAACAATATACCTTGGCTTCTTTTCTTCTATAATACAATACTGCGGAGTGAGTAAATTATAAACTATAAAAGTTGATTTGGCTCAAAGTTCTGGAGGTTGAGAAGTCCAAGATTTAAAGGCTGTGTTTTGTTCGGAGTGCTTCACAACATGATGTTGTGGTAAGAAATATCACATGCTAAGAAAGAAAGATAGAGATAGAGATAGAGATAGAGATAGAGATAGAGATAGAGATAGAGAGATGGAAGGAGAGAACCACATTTCACCTTTTTATAAGTACTACCATGATAATAGTATTAATCCTTTCATGAGGGATCTTGATTTAATTATCTTTTAATGTCATCACAATGGCAGTTAAATTTCGATATGAATTTTAGAGGAGATATTCCACCCATAGTATGATACCAATGTCCAGTTGACTTAAGACTTCAAAAATTGTAAATGTACTTCTTCAGTTCTAGATGTCCTCATTGGTTTAGTTTTTTGGGGGGGAGGGGTTAGGTTTTTTTTTTTAAATAGCTTTACCAATCCAGTTAAAGATGATCAATTATGTGCCTATTTTACTGTAAGCAATATAGTCTTGTAATTCAACACTGATGACATTCCACTTTTTTCAGGTTTCCAAGGGAACAGAGTTACCAAGTTAACCCAAAGTCATATTTATCCATAGAGAGTAATACTCTATTGTTTATATGGACCACATATTTTTATTCATTCACTCATTAGTGGATATATAGGCCACTTCTATAAGTCAACTATTATAAAAGGTTCTTCTAGAATGATGGGTTTGCCTGTATCACTGTGACATGATGATTAACTCTTTGGAGAAGATGCCTAGCAGATGAATGGCTAGGCCAAGTGGAATTTCTAATTTTAACTTTTTTTTTTTTGGGTCTTTTTCCTTTTTATCGGTACTGGGAATCGAACTCACGACTGCCTGCTTGCAAGGCAGGCGCCCATGCCGCTGAGCTAAATCCCCAGCCCCTAATTTTAACTTTTTGAGACATTCTCATACTGATTTCACAGTGGTTTTACTAGTTTACATTTCCACCAACAATGTAGAAGAGTTTGTTTTTCTTTACAACCTCCTCAGAATTTGTTGTGTTTTGACTCTTGATTCTTACTGAGATACAGTAGAATGCCAGTATTGTTTTGATTTGTATTGCTGCAATGGCCAAAAATGCTAAATATTTTTTCATGTATTCTTTGGCCATTTGTACTTCTTCTGCTGAGAAATGTCTATTCATTTCAATTGCCCATATTTTGATTGAGTCTTATTTTGGGAGGATTTTTGGGGGGTTAGTCATAAATACTAGATATTAATTTTCCATTTGAGGAGTAGCTGGTAAAAAAAGCCACCCATTCTGTAGGCAGTTTCTTCTGTTGATTGTTTCTTGTGCTATGCTTTTAAATTTGGTATAATCTTTTGCTATGCTTTTTAATTTGGTATAATCTTGTTTGTTGATTCTTGGTATTATATTTTGTGCAATTGGGGTTCTGTTCAGAAAGTCCTTGCCTATGCTTATGTCTTCAAGATTTTTACCAACCCTTTATACTGGGAGAGCCAATGTCTCTATTTTTATATCTAGGTCTCCGATTCATTTTGATTTGCTTTTAGCACAGGGAGAGAGTTATGGATCTTGATTCATTCTTGTGCATGTGGATAACCAGTTTTCCTAGCACAATTTATTAAGAGGTTATCTTTTTATTACAGTATGTGTTTGAGCTTTTGCCAGAAACTAGTGGCTGAGGGTGCCTTAGAACTGTTTCTACATCCTCAGTTCTATTCCACTAGTCAGTATGTCTGTTTTTTAGTCAATATGTCTATTTTTGTTCTGGTATCATTTTTTCTTTTTTTTTTTTTTTACTGTAACCTTTTGTATCTTGAAATTTAGGATTATAACATCTCTTGCTTTACTCTTATATTTCAGGATTGCTTTGGATATTCTGGGTCTTCTCTGGTTTCCTATCAGTTTTAGGATTGATTTTTCTAGTTCAATGCTTATGATATTTCAAATGAAGTTACATCAAACCTATATATAATTTTTGATAATATGGCTCTTTGACAATATTGATTCTGCCTACCTAAGAATAGCAGCATTTTTCAATCTCTTCTTTATCATAGTACTGTAGATTTAGTTATAGATGTCATTCACTTCTTCATTAGGTTTATTCCTAAAGTACATAATCTTTTAAAGCAACATGAATAGGTTATGGGTTGCATCTAGTGTTTCCCTAAAACTTCATGCAGTCATAGGTGGGGATTTTCAGAGGTGGCTGGATCTAGAGTGTGTGATGCTGCAATCAAGGGTGTGTGATTATTAAATTAGTCCTCTGATTATAGTTCTGGGTGTGGATGATGGGAAGGACCCCTGGGTGTGAGTGCTACCTGCCCTAAAGACACATAGTCTTAGGATAGACTATAAGGGTCACATAGTCTGGATAGACTATAAAGGACACATAGTCTGGATAGACTATAAGGGACAAAAAGAGGACAAAAAGAGCTTGTTGCTTTCTGCTTTCTGCTTCTTGGCTGCTTCACTGCTTTGCTGTCTTAGGCCACCATGAACTTCTTACCCTCCATGATACTCCTCTGTCATGAAACCTTGCCTTCAAGCCAGCCTATAATGAATGGAAACTTCTACAAACTCAGGGCCAAAATAAACCTTTCCTTATTTTTACTTTGAGTGTTAGCTATTTTGTCTTGGCAATGGAAAAAGTAGCTAAGACAAATGGGATTGTGATCCTAATTTTTTTCTTTGTAGGTGCATTTATTGTGTACAGGAATGCTATTGATTATCATGTATTTATATTGTATGCTGCCACTTTGCTGAAATTGTTTATTAGCCCTGCCTGTCTTTAGGTTTTCCATGTAAAAGATGCATGTGCCATGTGCAAATAAGTATAGTTGGATTTCTTCCTTTTCTGTTCACATCCTTTTAATCTATTTTTCTTACCTGATTTCTCTGGCTAAAGTTTTGAGGCCTGTACTGAACAGGATGGTGAGAATGAATACTGTTGTCTTGTTCCTGATATTAGAAGAACTGCTTTCAGTTTTTCCCCACATACTATGATATTGGCAGCGGGTTTGTTGCAAATGGATTTTTACCAGTTTGAGGTAGGTCCTTCTATACCTATTTTTATTAGGGTTTTATCATGAGTGGATGTTGGATTTTATCGAAGGCTTTTTCTGCATTTATAGAAATGATCATGTGGTTTTTATCTTTACTTCTGTTTATATGGTGCATTTATTGATTTACCTATGTTGAACCATACTTGCACTTTTGGAATGAAGCTGACTTGGTCAAGACAGAAGGGCTTTTAATGATTTGATGCATTCTATTTGTAAGTATCTTGTGAGGATTTCTGTATGTTTATTAAAGAAATTGGTTTATAGTTTCCTTTGTCTGGTTTTATGTCAGGGTAATGCTAGCTTCAAGGAATGAATCTGGCAATGTTCCTTCTTTTAAATTTTATGGAAGAGTTTGAGATGTGTTGGTGTTTGTTCTTCCTTGAAATTCTGTTAAAATATAGCAGCAAATCTATCAGGTCCTGGTCTTTTCTTAGTTGGTAGATTTTTAAAACAAAATTTGCTTCCTATTTTCATTCCTTGTTGTTGATCTCTTCAGGGGTTTCAAATTAGTTCAATTTTGAAATTCATATGTGTGTAAGAATTTATCTATTTCTTCAAAATTCTCCAATTTGTCACAATATCAAATTTCAATATAGTTTCTTATAATTCTTTGGATTTCAACATTTTGCGACTTTGCCATTTTAATTTCTAATTGTTTGATATGAGTTTCTTTTCCTTTTGATAAATGTGGCTAAGAATTTATCAATCTTGCTTATGTTTTCAGAAAAACATAAACTGATTCATTGAGCCATTGTATTTCTTTCTTTTTTTTTTTTTGGTACCAGGGATCAAACTCACAACTTCACACTTGCCAGGCAGGGGCTTATGCCATTGAGCTATATCCCTGGCCCAAGCCATTGTATTTTTAAGTTTCCATTTTGTTAGTTCATGCTTTGAATTTTATAATTTATTTCTTTCTACAGGTTTTGGATTTGAGTTGCTCCTGTTTTTCTAAGACCTTGATGTACATTATTAGATTATTTATTTGGATTCATTCTATTTTTAATAGCTCATTGGGCTTTTTATCACTCTGTTTTTTAATATGGGCATTCATTGTTGTGTATTTCCTTCTTAGAACTACTTTGATTGTATTCCACCCAATAGGACAAATGATAGTAACAGTGAGAAAATGAACTAATTATTATATCATGTGTGAAGAGATTTCATTTATTCAACAAATCTTTCTGTCTTTCTATCTCTTTCCTTTTTGGGACTGAGATTAAACCCAGTACCTCCTCACTGAGTTACTTTTGAAACAGGGTCAGGCTAAGTTGTTTAGGCTGGACTCCAACTTGTCAGTGTGCTGGGATCACATGCATGTACCACCAAATATGACTTCAACAAATATTTGATACAGTGAGCTCTAGAATGTCTCTATCATCTCTCTCTCCGTTTCTCTGTCTCTGTCTCAATTTTCTTATTGCTGAGAAAAAATATATGATGCTCAAAATTAAGGGAGGGGAGGTTTATTTAGCTCACAGTTTATGGAGGATTCAGTCTATCATTGACTGACTCCAAGGCAGGGTGGCATAAGGCAGAAGGGCAATAATTCATGGCAGCAGAGGACAGCAAAAGCAGCAAAAGCAAAGGGGAGAAATAAGCCTCTTTTCCATTCCTTATGTTGTATGCAGGCTACTACCATAAAGCGGGTATGTAACTCACACGCTCAATCCAAGCACTAGACAATGAACCAATTACAAATTCTAGATTCAGTCATCTCTGAAAAGCTACGCCTCATGACCACATGATGCTTTACTGAGACATCCAGATAAAAACAATAACAATCTTTGCCTCTATCTGTATCTGTCTCTATCTCTGTCTCTGTCTCTGTATCTCTCTATCACCTCTTTATTATCTATCTATTTATTAAGGGCTTGTGTGTATGTGTATGTGAATATATCTAAGTTCCTAAGAGATTTAGAAACAATGTTGTGAATTCTTGTGGGCACTAAAAGACCACATTCCTTTAGTTTTCTTGATTCATATCTTTTTGTTCTCCTAATTTCTTGAACTAAGACACTTTTTGGATCTTTCTGTTTTTTCCACAGCTCTATCGTCTGTGTTGGAGTCTGCGCAATAGCAAAGAGGAGCGTATTGACTTGGATGCAGAAGAAAAGGACATCCAAGAAGCCCCAGTGGAGACCATTGAAATAGGTGATTCATGAGTCAAACCGTAAAAAGTTACTCAGCAGCAGCAGCTTAATGAAAGCTATACCAAATGACTTCATCCTTTCAAGCTCAAATTTCTTTCCTATAGGAGGAAATGAATAGGGGTGGGATGAGATAAATTAATAGTTTTGGGAAGTTCACTATGGAGCCTGATCAGGAGAGGAGAGGCAGGTGCAGTCATCTCAGCTGCCTTGCCCTTCATACTGTATGATGCTCAGTGAATAAAAGGGTGGAGTATTTGTCCCCCACACTGATTTAGGGCACAGTCAGAGACAGAAGAGTCAGCGATTTGCTGACATATCCTGTGTACTGAGAACAGATGGAACCAAAGACATGTTCAGTTCTAGTGATGTCTAGTGTAAGTCAGAGGCTTGTGGGGCTTTATGTTTTACCATGTAAAACTTAAAAATCAAATTTCTCTGGAAGCCTGAGATGCTGCTTAGTCTGTGTGTGAGGCGTACCCTTTAAATTACTGCTTTCTTCAGTATCAGCACTGCAACTTTTCTTCTGTACAAGGGAGAAGTGCACACATGTAGAATGGATATGTGTGGCTTTCAGAAGTATGGGAGCTCAAGATCATATGCTTTACTTGCTCTTAGGTTGAAGCCTCGTCTCTCCCAGCACAGATGAAGTAGAACAAGTTCTGAATCTGATCAGGAATATCACTGAATTTTAGCTCAGGAAAAACCCTGTACATTATTTGATCTTATTACCTCATTTTATAGACATGCACATTGAAGCTCAGAGAGGGAGAGATTTTGTCAGTGGTCCTGGCTCTGATACAATCTGCCCTTAATTTCTAAGGACTTTTCAGGTCTGAAACTTCTGACTGACAGTACTAGAAGAGCATGAGTCACAGACAATAGGCAGCTCCTCTCTGCTTCCCTGAGCAGGTGGGCTTGAGATGCCTCTATCTCTCCTGCCTCCAATGATGTTTATACAGTGAATGAAAATATTAAAGGTTTTAAAAGGACATGGTCAAGGAGTATTTTGAGTGTTGGATTATGTTAAAGTGGAAGAGAAGATTACTTTTTGTGTCTGGGGAAAGACTTAAAATAGTTGTGTCAAAAGAACCCCTACAATTTTGACTCAGAAAAAGGAGGTTGGATAGTGCAGAGATAGATTGTGGGATCTAGAATCAGATGGAATTGTGACTGAACCATGAATCATTTTCTGATTACTTTGGGCAAGTGAATACATTTTTCTAAAGCTCTGGCTCCCCATGTGTTTGCATGATACTTCACACATCATAGCATTATTGGAAACATGATAATGCTTTGACTGTAAGGATTGGTTGCCATTATTACCATCTTGATTGAATTTAAGGAAGCATTTTCTGAGTTGGTCTGGAAAGGGATGAATGGCATCAGGGATGCTATAAAGGGTGTAACATCCACAGCGGCTATGGAATTGATAACATCTGAGACTTAGGACAACAGGCCAGATTGAGTTCTCTTGATTCGTGATAAGATCATGGTGAAGTGAAATAAAACTGTACCTTCTGTACTGAAGCACAATAAACTAAGCTCTCTTGGGGGAGCCTTGAGTGACTCAACTACCATTTTATGAGAAAGAGCAGCATGAAGAAGTCTTGCAGGTGCATTATCATCTCTGTAGCCTCACCATCCTCACCACCACTATCATATAATTGACAATGATTAGATCATAACATATTTTAATGATAAATATATTAACTTAATAATTCATTTTTATATCAAATCATCATTTTAAGGCATATCATTCCAGTATAATTTTTCTAATTTTACAGATGAGACATAGAGTCTTTCCCAAAGCCTTGCTATTGATACAGATAACCATGTATTATTTGTCAGTTGGCCTGGTCAGTAAGCCTACCTCCTTGACCCCTTTTCCCATTTTACTGTTTTGGTAGTAGGACAAATGGGAGAGGTACACAAAAGCTTGTTTCTCTTAGGTGTGAGAGAAAAGAGGAAGAGGTAAGGATAAGGGTTAGACTGTTGTAAACCAGTAGAATTGATAGATGTAGCCAGTTCACTTCTTAGTCAACCAGCCTCATTGATTTCTAGTGAGGAAGAAAACAAACATGAGCTCATGTTTTTCAGATGTGGATTTTTCATGTGCTTCATATGTCACAGTTCTCCAGTCCATTGCCAACACTTCTCTTTCATAAACTATTACCCGATCTGATTGTTTTAAATAAAAATGAATGTATATTGATTCCAATAGAAATAGAATTCAGAATTGATCATAAGGATGTAAAATCCTTCTATTAATATTGTTTTAAATGTAATTAAGTTCATTTGTATGGGTTGCACTATTCCATTTCCTGAAAATGAGAAAACTGGGTAATTGTTACCTTATAGTAGATTAGGTGCTCTACGGTATGGCACTTTCTGAAGTCTTTTCTATTTCCTCTTGGTTCCATATCTGATAATCCTTTATTTCTTGCTCTTGATGCAGAAGTTCCTGTGGAGAATAAAGGATGGTGCAGGCGTATCTATGACCTATTTTGTGGTCTGGAACAGAAGGGCCCCAAGCTGACCAAAGAGGAGGAAGAGGCCTTGAAGGTGAAGATGACAGACACCTCTGAGAAGCCTTTGTGGAGGACAGTAGTGAACATCAATGGCATCATTCTGCTGGCCGTGGCTGTCTTTTGCCATGCATACTTTGCATAAGTTATGGCTTCTGCTGTGGACTTTCCAGACTGGCATCTTTACCTCCCTTTAGTCCCATTCTGTGGTACTGAAGGGAATTTGGTCTGTTGTAAACCTCACCCAGTTGGATAAATGGGTACATGTGTAATTATAAGCAAGCTGGAAAAAATCATTGTTTTGCTGTTAACTTATGCATTTGAAGCCAATATAAAACATTCATCTGTACATAATAAATCTGCAGAAGGAAAATTTAGTCATATCCAGGAAAAGTCAAACTAAGAGTAGAAGCCCTGTGATACCTGATGTAAGTCAGGTACATGTGCCAACCTTATTTATAACCCTTAAATATTGTTTTTAGTGTTTTGGTCTCCCTGGTTCCTTCCTTTCTGACCTTCTGATCATTAAAAAAAATCCCTTTCCTGCCATCATATCCCCCTCAGATTTTTCTCAGTGTAAGAAAAATTAATCTAATAGACTGATGAATGCATGAAAGCTGAGAATGGGAGCTTGATGGGGTCCCTTCCCTGCGCATTTGTCTTTTGAGGTGGGGGTCTCAGAAATGTAAAACCTACCCAAAATGGAGGAATCCGGCCTCAGTCTCAGATTAGTGGAGGAGCAGATAATGTTGTGTCCAGGGAATTTTCTGTTCTTATAAATGTCCATTGTGTGTTTCTTGTGTTTGAGATTCACTCATTTTGACATTGACGGTGCCTGGAATGTCTTAGCCACTCAATGATGTTTGTTGACTAAATAAATGATTTGGATGTTTATTTATAGATACTTGTCTGGACCTTGGTTAATGTGTTTTTTGTCTGCACAAAGTACATAGTACGGTGAGCATAATGAATTGGAATGCACTTGCCAGAGCCTACATAGTCCTGGTATTGACGTATGGACTTAGAAGGTGATGCTACATCACATGACAGAGCAAATGCACTTATTGGGACATCTGTCACCTCAAGAAGGCTTCCCTGTGCCAGGAAATACTGAAACAATTACTATAGTCTGAGATTCTCCTCCAGATGAATTCATGTGACCACAGCTATTTCTTTTTTAAGGTGTTTGATTGGCAATCATCTACTGATGGATGCCAGGGCAGGTGGTTTGTTGTTCCAGATGGTAGTGCTCTCAAAACATCTAGCTGAAAGGAGTGTGTTTCTTGTAGTTCCCTAGGGGAAATTCTTTTCATTTACTGTAAATTAAATTAATTTAAAGAAGTCTACATGTGAAATCTCAGTTATGTGTTCCCACTGAAGTTAAAAAGTCAACGTGCTGGCATTCACTGGTTTCAGGCTACTTTAGAAAAGTGCTGTGTGTGGTTCCTGGTCATAGAAATTACTCAAGAGATAAAGAAATGGCTTATTCTGATGTAAGGAAGGAAACCCAGAGAACAATATTTGAAGTACCTTCTCATTTCCAATAAGCTAGACAAAAAAGAGGGAAATGTGAAGAGTTTGACATTGTCAGAATTACTCCGAGGACTCAGTGCTATATGGGGTTTGTGACATGTTTTGAGTGGATAGAAGGAGAGGATTGAAAACCAGTGGATGGGATAGGCAGTATAAAGCATCTAGATTATCATGTCTAGATGTCATTTCTGGCTTTAGTAATAAATTACTATAAATTATATGGTAAATTATTTTTCTCAGCTATATGTTTTTCTCTTTGAAAGATGGAGAACTTGGTGCTTACAGCACGTACTTGCTTCCTTAGGTGTGGCAAGGACACTTTGAAAAGGGCGTGGCAGATACATACATGAAAGAGGCTCTACAGGTGATATATTAAACTACATTCCATTGAGTTCCATCAATTAAAATATATTCCTTTGACAAAAATAAAAATCTTAAAACGCTAACATTTAGAGAGGAGTGAATATAACGTTTATTAATAGTGAACATTTTGGTTAGCACAAACCATGGATTAGGAGTCAGGGATTCAGGATAGTTGAGAATAGAATTTGGCAACTTGAATAATTAATCAGTGATAGCTAAGGCCAGGCATGGTGTGCACCCTATAGTGTCAGCTACTGGAGAGGATAAGGTGGGAATATTGCTTCAACTTAGAGTTTAAGATCATTCTGGACAACATAGCAAAACACATCTCAAAAAACATGTAAGTTTGAAGATAATTTTTGGTTTTAAAACCTCTAGTAAACACAAGGCCAGTAACTTGCCTGTGTAATGTCCCTTTAGAAGAAGAAGAAAAAAAAAACCCAGAAAAAGGGTACAAGTAATAAAGAATTTCAGATAAAATAAACAGTAGGAAATCACTAGTTAATAGATTACATATTGTCATCTTAGAAACAGTTGTTCAAGTTACAAAATTAAAGCATATAAAGTGGACTTTCAAACAGTGATACTGCAAACAGTTCTGCTCAATGATCCAACAAAACTCAGTAATATGGTTATCTATCGTATACACTTAAATACACATGCAGTTATATCCTTTAGAGCACTTTCTTTTCCTCTCTTTTGTACAATGACAATTACACATTTTGGGTTTTATTACTCCCACAGTTCTTATTACTTTTTTTTTGAAGAGAGTAAAACCAAATGTGACATAACAGGACAGAGTCAGTCAAATTAAAAGGATGGACATAATACATAATGTAAAAACAAGATACAAGGTGATCAACAATGGTTACCATAATGCCTTTTGCTATCTTAAAAAGAATTGCCTATATCATCAGTTATAATAAAATTGAACAAAAGGGTAAAGAACAAGACCAACAAAACCAAAACATTGGAGACATTACAGGACTTCAAAAGAAGATAATAGTCAACCAGAATGGGCGTCATAATGAATCTTATTGTTTTCACAGTTGTTGCCTATACTTTCAAACTTGGTACTATCAAGCAAAGCAGAATAGGGGAAAATCAGTCAAAACAAGATGGTGAAAGCAATACAGGGTTTCAAATCAAGTTAATAGTAAATCAAAGTGGGTTACAATAATATATCCTGCTATTTTAAATTTATTTTTCCCTTAAATTAAAAGGATAAAAATACAAAAGTAAATAATAAAAAAAGGAGATTGAGATAAAAGAGGGCATAACAACAAAACAGTGCAGGTCAAAACATAACCATTTAAGCAAAATAGTGTTTCACCACAAGATACCCTGACATAAAAGTAGTTACTGTAGTGTCTCTTTCCTTGAAATCTTTAAGTATAACTTCGTATACTGTAGCACCAAACATATCAAGACAATGTAAAACCATTCAAGAGAATGATAGTATTACAGGGTATTTAGAACCAACTATCAGAAAATAAACAATGGTTTCTGTATAATCTCCTTGTCTATAAAAGTTTTTGTTTATATTATCACATACAGTAAAATCCAATAAGATACAACCTGTTAAGACCGATGGAGACAGAAGAATAACAGCTTGATGAGACTTCAAAACAAGATGATACTAAATCAGCAGTAGCTATTATGATGTCTTGTTTTCTCCAAAATAGCTGTTCCTACCATCCAACCTTCTCTGGCTCATTTCTGTTGAGTTCTTTTTCTGTTGTTGGTTGTCAGTTTGTCTTCTTCATTTCGCTTTCTGCTCCATTCATTGTGGCCTCTCTGCCATTGTTTCTGGAATCTTGATATTTTTCTTTTTTAGAATATCCTGCAGTATTCTCTGTAAAGTTGAATTGATGGTTGCAAATTCCCCTAGTCCCTCTTTATCCTGGAAGCACCTTGTTTTTCCATCAATTTCTAGGACAGTTGTGCAGGTTATATCAATCTTGGCTGGAGGTTATTATCTTTCAAAGCTTGAATTATTTCCCCCCATGCTCTTTGTGAATTGGTGGTTTGTGCCGAGAAGTCTGCTGTAACTCTGATGGGTGTTCCCTTGTAAGTGATCTGTTTCTTGTCTCTGATGGCTTTTAGTATTCTGTTCTTATATTGGATTTCTGAAATTTTGATTTTTATATGCCTGGGTGTAGCTCTATTTGGGTTGTAGGTGGCTGGCGTCCTGTATGCCTCGTACATCTGAGTATCTTTACCTTTTGCTAAATTAGGGAAATTCTCTTGGATTATTTCTGTGAATAGTCTTTGTAGTTCATTTGTTTGTGTCCCTACATCTTCTTTTACATTCTTAATTCTTAAGTTATAGATCCTATCATCTTCTAGCCTTTGTATTATTGCTGTTTGTTTTCTTGTTATTTTTAAGAAGTTTTTCATTTCATGCTCCCACCTTACCAATCTGTCCTCCAGTTCAGATAATCTATCCTTAGTTTCTTTCAAGCTGTTATGCCAGCTTTCAATAGAGTTTTTAGTTTCCTGGTAATCTCTTTGAACCTGCTTCACATATTCTATGTTTTCTCTATTTTCTCCATCAAACAATTTTCCCCTTTTTTTCTATTCTTCCATTCCACCATCTGTTTTTCTTGGGCGGTGCTCAGGATTTCTCTAACTATTCTTCTTATTTCTTGCTTTATTTCATTAAATACTTCATTTTTGAACTCATCTATGAGTCTCCGGAGATACCACTTTATGTCTATAGGTGCCGTGTCTGATACTGCATGTTTTCTGTCTTCATTCTCTTTGCATTTACCTTTCCTGGATCAGTATTATCAGGACTGGGGACTGAGGACCCTTTCTTGTTGTTTCCTCTTCCCATACTTTTTGTTCCTTCCATACAAGCGTATGTAGGAGGCCCAGTTTTTTTTCTCTTTGTCTGTTACAGTTTGTTTGAATCCTCTAGCTAGGTGTTCCCACCCACTGTAGTGTACTAGGGAAACACAGACCTGGGCAGCCTCTGCTGGGCCTGTCCCTCCAGATCAACCTAGTGAAGGCTTCCCTGCTAGGGTGCACTGCCAGGTGCAGGGACCTGATTTGGGCTAGCCTACTGGATCTTAGTCTGTGGTGTCACCAGGCCAAGCGCTCCCCACCAATCCCACTGGAGAGGGGAATATGCGACTAAAGTTAGTGCAGGGTCCTGTTCCAGCTAGTCTGCCCATTCCCAGAATGTCCTCTGTTGGAGCCTCCTAGTCTATGAAAGGGTCCCCATTTCTCTCACTCACCGCAGGTCGATGCAGGGCTCCCTGCCAGTCCCACTCTCAATGCTGTTTGGTTCGCGGATTCCCGCTCTCAGAGCTTTCGTGTGTCTCTCTCCCTGCCGTGCCGATAGGGACGCAGCAGTGGCAGCAGGAAATTCAAATCATGGCTTCCAATGGCACGGGATCCAACTTCCGTGCTGAGATTTTATCTGTTCCTGTTATAGCATCAGGATTTCATTTTCAGCTGGTTTCTCTCAGCTTAGTTCATTCCGGGTCGGCAGGGTACATCTCCCCTTGCTTAGGACTCCTCACACGGCACCACTCCTGGATTCTAAGCTGGTAATCTCAGAGAGCCTCCATGGCTGCTGTTATTTGTCTGCCATATTCTCCCGGAAGTCGATGTGTTTAATTCTTCTAGGAAAATACTCAGAAGGGGAATAGCTGGATTGAGTGGGAGCTCTAATCCTAGATTTTTGAGGAATCTCCACACTGATTTCCACAGTGGCTGCACTCCCACAAACAGTAGAGAAGGGTTCCTTTTTTTTTCCCACAGCACCTCCAGCATTTGTTACTAATTGATTTCTTGTTGATAGTCATTCGTCTGGGGTGAGGTGAAATCTTAGTGTTGCTTAAACTTGCATTTCTTGAATGACCAATGACATTGCACATTTTTTCTTATATTTATTTGCCATCTGTATTTCTTCATCTGAGAAGTGTGTATGTGTCTCAGATGCTCACTTTTGGATTGGGTCTTTGAATTCTGAGGGCCTGAATCTTAAAAATTCT